AGTTGCAGATATCAACAGTGTTGGATCACGAAGCTGCTCAAACAATAATATTTCATTTGTTTAATTAATTTTTCATTGTAATTTAATTTGAGCATTGACTTATGTACCGTGTGAATTGAAGCTAATCTATTGCATGTGCTTCACAAAGAAGAATAAAACATCTTTCCCATGATGTTGTTGAATCATTTTCCAGTGCCAGATCTCAATTATTGTCAACTACAAATTTTGCTTGGGGCCCAAAAAGAAACACCCACAAATTTTGCTTAAAAAAAAATTCATCAACAACTTAACAATAATTGACTTATTTTGAAGTAAAATAAGTATCACTAGTTTGACTTTTTTTATATGCAAATTTAGGTAATGGTATTTTTTATTATTTGATGGGTATTTGAATTTTTTTTATATACATAATTTTTATTAGACGTTAATAAAAATCTACCTGGATTAATATGCATTAGTTTTAAAATCTTGATTCAAAATTAAAACTAAGGCTGAAAGTAATTTTTTTCATATTAAACTCTTAAATTTCAACGTTTCAAAAAAATATTCTATTATTTATTGACATGTAGAACTCTTGATAAGAGAGTTTAGACTATGTTAACTTATGTGTTTGTTTTAAAGTATTAAATACTTTAAATTATAAATAATAATAGTAATTATTTTTAAAATATTAACTATAAATTACTAATTGAATTTGAACAATTAATCCAAACATTCCCTTAAATTTATTTAATGTCTCGAGTAAAGATACAAAAAAAGATGTCAACTTTACAATTTTTTTATTTAAGGATGTTAACTTTGTCAATTTTTAAATAAGAATGTTAACTTTTAACATTTTTTATTTAATAATGTCAACTTTCAATTTTTTCTATTTAAATATACCAACTTTCAACATTTCAGTTAAAAAATTAATTTGCCACATTAGCATCATTATCCAATTAATCTTTAAATAAAAAAAGTTTAAAATTAATATCCTTAAATAAAAAAAAGTTGAAAATTGATATCCTTAAATAAAAAATATTGAAAGTTGATATCATTATTTAAAAATTAATAAAATTAATATCCTTAACTAAAAAAAAATTATAAAGTTGATATCTTTTTTTGCACTTTTACTCTTAAAGCCTCCATTTCTTCATGGTGAGAAACATTGCATGGAGAGTAGATTAAGCATTGGATACTATGATTTCACTCCGCCAATTGTCATGTTTCCTTTCCTTTTTCAGTTTGTTATATATACTTGTCATGTGACTAACACAACATGTTCTTTTTAGCATTTTAAATGTTTTGGACAGGGATGGTGACAAGAAATTCAGTTAGGGGGCAAAAATTATTGTTAAAGATTTGAATATTTAAGAATGTCTTTTATGATACTAATTAATTTTTTTAATTTTCTTTATAAAAAAATTATTTGTGGTCCTTTGCATTGATATATTCCAAACAAAAACTAGAAATAAATGTATTTATTATAATAAAAAAACTATTACAATAATAAATAATGTAATTAATTGAAGAATGAATGAAAAAGAGAAATGTGTTTGTTAGCTAAATTTCTAAAAAATTAAAAAGAAAAAACACCACAAAATTGCATTGTTTTAGTAAACTATATTAAAAAAAGACAAAAAAAATATTCATAATAAAAAAATACTAAAGAAAACTATAAATTTAAAATATTTAAATAAAAAATCAAAGTTTTTTTTTGGAACTTAGTAGATAAAGTAATGTTTAAAAACCCCAATTCATAATTAATTAAATTGACATAAAATTTATTTTACTTAAATCATATCCTTATTTTTTTGAAAACTCTTTATTTAGATCTTAAATATTTTCTTTACATTCTGAAATGTTCCATAAAATTCATACTATAAAAACAACATTATTAACAAATAAAAATTAAAGTATCATATTAAATGTTTTTTAAAAGTTTAGGGGGGCGCTGCCCCCCTTGTCCTTCACTGGCTCCATCCCCGGTTTTGGATAATATTTAACACTTCATATTGTTGTTTTTTTTAATAACATTGCAGGGATCTTTTTTGGTGCAAGTTAGTGAGTTATAGAATCCAAGGATGCCACCGTTTCTCGCGCTGCTTATTGTCACGTAACATATTGTAAAGGTCACATGAAAGTTACGTTTTTTTTGTTCACTCATTTAAAATGTGTGGTAATTAACTTTAGTTCAAAAAAAATTTAAAATGTGTGGTATAAAATGATATGAAGTTGAGTGAATAAAAATGTAAAGAATTGAAGAAAATTATGATGTATTGATATTTAAATTTCAAAAAAAATAAATTAAAATATTTTAAATAAATTAATATATTAAAAATTTTATAAAAATATTTAAATAATTTTATAAAAATTCTTAATATTTAAAATATTAAAATATTTTGTTTTTTATTTTTTAAAATATAATTTAACGAAATAAAAAATACAATTTGTGTGATATTATTAATAATTTACTGTGTAGTCCTAACAGAAGCCATTGTTTATTTGTTTCTCTTCTTTTATTTTTTTTTACTAATTTTTTGATATTTGTTAATCACATTAGACTTGATTAATTTAAAATTATGTTGCGTTGAACCCTATTTAAGAAAACTCTTCTAACACATATTTTTTTATTCACAGGATTCAAATTTAAAATTTTATTTAAGAAAAATTAAACTCCTTCAACTCATATCAACATATCATTAATTTCTTTTTTTTATATATATTTCTTTTGTCTTTTTAATTTTTGTTTCTCTAATTTGTTTGATATTGAAACAAAATCTTGGCAGTTTACAGAATTACCCTTCAATAATTGACAAAAGAAAAAAAACATTGTCAGGGCTGGCAGAAGGGCAGTACATTGGTGTTGGAAATCTCCACTCCTCTGTTTGGCTTTTTTGTGCCGACCAGAAAAAATAAATAACAAATAAATAAAAATGAAAAACTTGAAATCCCAACGGTTATCGGGATAGAAAAAGGAAAAAAAAATTATTCCATTTTGAAATTCAAATTAACCCTGAGTAGTAAATACTGCTAGTTGGAATTTTAAGAAGGCCATTTTTCCAACGTCTTTTTAATTTTTTTTCCCCAAATTGCCTAATTTCCTTCTCTTTCTGTACCTTTGCATTTTGAACGAAAAAAAGAAACTTTGCCAAACAAGGATTTTAATTTTAATGATTTATTTTTAAATTTTAGTGTTAAAATTTAATTAATTTAGAGTTTTATTTTTGTTAATAACTTAAAAAAAATCTCTTATTCTTCAAAAATTCGCCCTTTTTAAAAAAAAAAAGAAATTTTGCCTTTTAGAGGAGCTATGTTAGGTCAAGTGCCCATTTGCTTAAAATCTATTTAGTTAGAGGGAAATGGGTATAAAAGAAGTTATTTTGTATAATTTGATATTTTTATTTAATTTACTAAAATAAAATTTTTTTAAGTACTTCAAATTAAATAAATCTAAAAATAAAAAAATGATAAAAATTTTCACCATCAAAGCTCCTCACTCGTAATGGCTTTCCTCTTTTAAAACTCGTTTTATTCTTTTATTATTTAAATTTAAAATTTTTAAAATTAAAATTTAAACTCATAAATACTAACACGATGCTCAATAGGTTAATTACAAAGTAATATAACTATTGTGCCACTCAATTATTTTGGTACATTGATTTAATTATTTTAAAGTTCTCATCTATCATGAGTCATAGGCTCATAGTCCCCCACCACCCCCCAATCCCCCTTTTTTTTTTTTTTCATTTTAATTTTTTTGCTGAAAGGTATGCCAACCATGCTTTCCATGGCCCATTCCGGTGCAAACAATTATGTACTACGGAAAAACCTCCAAGGAATTTTTCTGCAATGATACCCTTACCTGACTTGGCCATTTTCTGCTCAATTTCATCATGGTCATCGTCTCGTTTCAGACTTTCATATCATGTTTCAATGATACTATTCACTCTTTATGCCAAAACCTATATGAGGGTGTGGTTATTGCTGTTCATTATTTTTTGTTAAAATTATTAAATTTTGTTTATTTTGTCTATTAAAAATAAT